AAAAAAATAACTGAAGAAATAGTAAACAATAAATAGTTTAAGTGTGTTTTGAAAAAAAGGCCAATGAATAAATGTAGAAATTTGTGATTTTATGCTAGATGAAGATGTATATTCCAGTGATGCACACATGTTTGTGGAAATTGTAGAAAATCAGTATGGCAGTGAACACTTAGGATACTTTATCTTAATAAGGTTATTTCTCAGGCAGTTCAAACATTTCACCGGGGTTCTGGAAATTGAGGTTATTTTTTCTTCCTAAAGTAAAGATGTCTGTAGACAAATCATTTACTCTAAATGCTTCAATTTATTCAAGAAAACATTACAATGTACTGTATTTATATATTATTGATTTCTGTGAGCCTCCAGTGCATCTTTAAATTTGTGCAGCCTAGACCTTTTGGAATTTAATAAATTCTATAGACCTAGGAAGAAAGCCATATTGTAACACTAGAAAAATAAAAATGGTTGGTAAAACGAAAAATGGTTGGTATGTGGGAGCAATGGTCTAAATATCTAGTGCTTTCCAACAAATTATTTCAAGTTGTGCTACTAAAAAACATTTGTAAAAGCAATACACTCAATAGCACATGGAAAAAAAACTCTTTGGCCATGTGCAAAGCAAATATAATGCAAACTAAAAACCTAGTGAAAAAGGGACAAATTATTATTAGGTCTGATTTTATTTTCTGTTTTGATTGATTGTTTTATGTCTCCCTGTCAGATAAACTATCTGTTAAAATTCACTTTTCCTTCAATTTCTCACAGGCTTCATACATTGAATGTATTAAAGTTTGCATAGAGCATGAGCTTCTTCATTTAAAATGAGTAAATGGTACACACACTTTGTTAATCCAGACTCATCTGTTTGCATGCCCAGGAATGTATATGTACAAAGATTGTACAGTATAAACTCAACTCTCCCAATGGATTTGAAAGCAATGTTACTTTAAGACTGGGTTCCTGCCCTGCACAAGGAAAATGAGCATCTGAAGACATGCTGCTCTGACAGGCTGACCCATCAGAACCATTCATTTTTGACACACTGCAATCACCACGGCGCCAGAGTTAGCGTCTACTGGATTAGCACTTCACCTGTCATTGAAGTCCAAAGTGAGAATGCAAGTGACCGCCAAAAACCTGAGACAGCCCTGGCTAACTAATGTCCACCCTGTGCTGACAGTGCTCTACAAGTCATGCACTGCTGCTTGGAGACTATATCACAATCAGCTAGAGACATCACATAGTACTTTACAGCCCACCACTAACAACCAGGCCAGAGGATTCATGTTTTCAAAGCATGCCTTTACAAGCTGAGCCACACAGGAGACCTAACCATAAATTTTACTATCTGGTTTTATCTTTCTAAATCGTGAGGATTATTTAAAGCCTCTAAACATTTTTATCCTATGTATGAAAGTTTCTTATTTGTTAACAGCTTAATGTTGGATTGAATGTATTATAGCACTGTATGTATTGTGGTATGCCTTTTACCTGCCTGCAAAGCAAATTTCCCTTCTAGTGGCTACACTTGGATCCCAAACACCATATGCTACAGAACTGTTACATACAAGATCCATTGAGGAGTCTTGGGGATTTTTCATCCTGGTCTTGATACTTGCCAAGAAAGTGACCTTGAGGTTCAGAACAGTAAATCAAACCCAAAAGATTTTATCTCTCTAGTGAACACTACAGTCAATTTTAAGTTTTGGCACCGTCAATATAGGATATATGCTGATGCAAGGGCTCAGGCCTCCAGGCCTTAATAAGTACCAGCAAATCGTTCCTTTAATAAACACATTAAGTATGCCCATCTAACTGAATGACAACCCAGTTATATTTCTTTAAGATCTGAAAAGAAAAATTCCAATTACATCTTTTAGATGTAAATGTCAAAATTGAGAGATTAAACCATGGTCATCAAGCTCAACAAACAGCATTTCTGTAGGTGCTAAAAACTCATGATGTATAACTTTTCCAACAAAAAAGTGGAACAGTGAAACTTACCAACCATAAGCTGTAAATCAATATTTTCTTCCACTGGCATTGACTGAATCTAAAAACATTTTTTAGTCTTTTCCTATGTTTAGAACTGAACTGTATTACCAAAACAACATAACCTTCAGTACAACATGCAGAATGAAGTCATGAAGTGAGTACTTTTGGGGGATGTACTGCACACTTGACATTCTACATATTATGTTAAGTGGTAGGGAAATGACAGATACATCTTGTTAATTTCATGGGAAAGTAACTACAGAAATATTTGAAGTCCAGATTTCTAAGGCTGTATACAGTATAAGATAAGACAATTATTAAAATATTTCAACATATTTCTAGTCTTGATTCATTTTTGATTTCAGAAATGCCACAGGCCATAATAAGATTTCAATCCTGGCATCTGATTTAATTATATTACCAAATGAAACTAATTTTCATTTCATTAACATTGATTTTACTTGTTATTCATTTTTCAGTCTTGTTTCTATAGTCTATTAATTATTTTCAGTTAACTACAAACTTTAATCCACTCAGACATGTCTTCTTTATAATTACCAACATAAAATGAAATTAATTGTTCTCAATGTCCAGGATCAGAGGGAGGACTTTTAAAATAATCTTTATTCCCAAACCACAAGGATCTCTTTTCGATATCAAACTAAGACATGATATATTAGGGTTGCATTATTGTTTTTTGGGGGGTTTCAACAAAAGGCATATTTCTACCTTCAATTTTATTACAAAACACACAAACACAACAGCAGTAAGACTTCCTTACTCTAATACTGTATGTTTATAATTAGATGTTTACCCAGTTCTTGCCTATCACATTTTATTTTAATTCTATGCTTATTTTTTATTATTACCTTTATTATATTGTTGCCATGAATCCTTCTATTTCTTCCTTACTGCTTTTGCACTGTAAGATAAATTGAACTAATCGTTTCTTTCACTTGGTCATGTTCACTGGGTTTCTAGATTATTTTGGCTAGTTTTCAAAAACACAGGAAGCAAAGCAGGGATCGACCACACGGCTACATTGGAGGAGACTGGGAACATTTGTTAAGCTTTACAGGGAAAAAGGGCAATATGTAAGCATCCACATACTTTACGTTATTGGGGCATTTTCTGTGTCGTGTTTTTATCTTAATGTTTTCTTAATAACGCTTAATTGACTAGTGTTTTTATCTAGTCAATTAAAATGAGTTTTTATCAAATGTACCACCTTGTGGGCTGATATCACATCTCTCCAGAAGCCCTGCAACTCTTCTAGCTGATCTGCTGTGTAGTGGGGATGCTGGTGTATAATGGTTGCTAGCATCCAAGTGGATTGTTGATTACATAAGGTTTCACCTCTGTGTATTTATACTTGGCGAAGCACCGCTGGCAGTAATTATATCATTGTCTTGTACATACAGTATTTTTGTATACAGCTCTACCAACATTGCGCACAAACATGCCTCAATTTTCACCTATTTTTTAGCAGTCTTGCTCGAGCTCTGTCAAGCTGGTTGAGGATGCTTATTTGAACAATTGTCTTTGACAAGACTGGAACAGAATTTAAGTCTTGCCAACGACTTATTTTATCAGATTCAAGTCATGACTTTGACTGGGTCATTCAAGGACATTCACTTTCTTATTAAAACCACTCCAGTGTAGCTTTGGCCTTGTGCTTTAGGCTATTGAGCTACTGGAGACGAATTTTCATCCCAATTTTAGGTCTTAGACAGACTGAAACAGGTTTTCCCTCAAAGATTTGCCTGTTCTTTGCTTCATCCATTTCCCCCCTCAGTCTTGACAAGCTTCCCAGTCTCTGCTGATTAGAAGCAGCCCCACAACATAATGCTGCCACCACAATGTTTGACAGCAAGGATGGTGCTGACTGAGTGATGTGCTATTTTAAATTTGCGCCAGACATAATGCTTTGCATTTAGACCAAAATGTTGCAATTTGAATGAGAACAATTTAAATGTTTCGTTGCAAACTCACGGTAAGACACGCTTACTCAGTTTGGCTGATTGTCTGATACACTTTTCACTTCTCAATTATCGACCTCACAGTGCACTAAGGAGCAGTGTTTTTGAGTTTTCTCAAAAAACAATTCTCCTGGTCTGTGCCTTTTTCCAACTTTATCCTTAGGTTGTCTGAAAGATCTTTAGTCTTCATGGTTTAATCATGCGAACACCTATTATTGTACACATGCAATTTTGTACACCAAAAATAATTTAATTTAACATACAGTAGCAAAGGGGTGATTACTTATGTAACCAATCTTCATTTTTTGGCTGACATTCATCTACTTTTACCAATAAAAATATTTAGGTTGAACATTGAAGTTTTGATTAAAAACATTCACTTTTAAAAAGTGAATATTTAAGTGCAAAGCACAATAAAAGTGTTTTGAAATTTGTACATGTATACAGTATGTATACAGAAATTTGTACATGTATACAGTATAATTATTTTGACATGGGCATCTGTCTTTTCTTTTGAATCTGCATAGAAGAAGTCAATCTTATAATGGGTAAATTATCCTTAAAAGAAATCACACAGTCTAGGTGTGTGTAGTGTCTAGATAGACATTAGATCAATAAATTAGATTAACTAAAGACATTTTTTTCTTTCTTTACCTTTTGTATCCATAGGTAAAGTATCCTAAAAATAATGAAGTTTTGTCCTAGATTGCTTTTCTTGGATTCCATCTCATGGATTCCAAAACCCATGGATTCCATCAAGCTAGAATGATTAAGAATTAAGAATTCACAATTAAGTATCACAATATAAGATGGGGATTAAATTTTACTTTCAAAAGCATCCATAAATATTAAACATTCTGGAAATTACAAAGCCACATCTGACCTTGTCAAAGTCAACTGACAAAATATTTAATGCATTTTAAAAAGGGTGGGCAGTGTAATTAAATTGCAGTGTAAAATCTTCCAATACTCATAATCCTTCAACTGTAAGCAAGTAATGTCTATATTCCTGCAGCTCCTACTCACCTGACATCCACAGCATCCTCCATGACAGTCATGTCGGTTTTACACTTGGCTGAAGGGTTTATGGCAAGTTCTGCTGGTGGGATGACAAAACTCTTGCTTAGGGGCAACCACATACCTTCGCCAAGGGTGTAGGTGAACCTAGCAATGACATTCAGAAAATCACAATTAGACACAGGAAGCTAAAAAGCTGTTTTTGTTTAATTGTGTCTGTAAAATAAATAAAAAATTGACTACAATGCATCTGTGAATGGAAAGTTATCATTTGTTAAATAAAGTAGCAATATAATCAGCAGGCTTTAAGACACACTATATCATAATACTAAAAGGTCTGAATGCCTAAAGCATTCTGTATATTCTGTACAAATAATGCAGTGAGCTCTGGGAAATACAAACATCAGAAGCTGGAGCTACAGTATATAACTATAGACATCTAAATATGTACAGCTACAGCTGTCTAATATAGATAGCTAAACCAGAAGCATGGATTGCAGAGTTTTAATAGATCAATCAAGGCTCTGTGCCTACAGGGAAAGCTCTGAAAGAAGTGCATGTGGGGAATTTTCAGTCTACCGTAGGACCAAATTGTAACACATCTTACTTCATAAACAGCAAGCAATGGCATTAGTCATTAACTGCATAATGCATCCATTAGCAAAATTCTACAGCACACATTAAAACAGTGGAAAACTGTAAATAATGTACTCTATTTCTCATTTACTGTACATACTGATAAAACTGTGATATTGCTTTTTCCAAGCAATACTGCACTTAATTACTTCTTTGACAACAGGGAATTCTGGTATTGATTAACAAACCAAGCAATAATTAGAATATTAAAAAAATTCTAATATGCCTGCTTTAACCAACTTTGGTTTGGATCCAAGGACAAAAAAAAATAATATCACTAGCCTGCTGGATAACACTGATAAGTAACACGGTAATACTGAAATGTCACTGTACACCAGCATCAGCTTGAAAATGTAGGGTTTATGTCTCAAAAAAAGCTAAAGGTCATAGCGATACCTCCCTATAAATAAATAAAATAATATATTCTACTCTTTAGTGTCCTCTTAGCTGGGGCAGCTGTGTAGTAACTTGAATAACCTGAACCAGACTCCACAGCAACAGAAGCAGAATTCATTATCAGGGCTGCTTATTCAGCTGTCTACCGGGACCTGAAGGAACCGCAACCGAGTGGTATTACATGTGCAATGCATTTGGGTGGATCTCACCTGGGATTAAGGGGAAAAAATAAGAAAACATTAACACACATGCTGCACATACTGTGTGCTGCACGCATATATTTAACTCTTTAAACATTCAGACCTGGAATCTTGTATCTCAAGGTACATGATTAGGCTACCAAACCGATTGCAGAATAAGAACAAAAGTGAGGAATCCCTTTTGATAGCTACTGTCATTGATCTAAGGATCTAACCTCAAAATTAATAAACAATTTCAGTTTAGTTTTATATCCTTTTCACTCATCACAAACTCAATATCAAATGTACTTCAGATTCAGAAAGGAGACCTTTTGCATTGAACATGAATTCGAGAGAACATTTTGGATTGAGCCCTGTCTGTTGGAGCAGAAAAGCAATGTCCCTCACTTCTTGCAATATAAAATCAATGAAAAATTAATAAACAGCCGGGAGGGATGACAAATGGCACATGAGGCCATCCTGCATTGTGAAAACAGATGAAAATGACACCATGGCACTGAACAAGGGGTTCATAATTATAGAAGTACTTTCAAGGATAGGGTAGTCTCCTTTCAGAATTACAAAATAACATTGCAGTTCTCCAAGCAATGTACAAAAATGTACCATGTGTTAATACTGAAACAAAATTTAGAACAGCACTGGAAGACACCAAGGAATACAGGCAGCTATATTTCAAATACTACAGTATATTATAGATTTTTAAGTAACCAACAACCATAGTAAAAGAAAGCAACCATTTAATATAACTCAGTAACAGTAAGCAAATAATGCAAAAGGCATCAGCATTATAAAGGCAAATTTAAATACTGTTTTAGGCTTAAGAAAGGTTTTGTCATAGGTTATTATAGTTATTATCATAGGCTGTATGCCATTGTATTAAAGACAGAAATGGCTAGAAGTACATGGATTACTAAAGTTGTTGTTTTCTTACCATTCTGATTTCACACTAAGACTTCTGCAATGTGTATTGAAAGAAATGCTAACTTTGTATTACAGGAAGGCACTAGACATGCATGTATGCAGTACCAGCTTCTCTACGAAGAGAATGATTAACAGCTATAAAAGGAAAAGCTTAATTATGTCCCTCCAATTACTTTCCCCTTAGAACTCCAGCATGCTATGAATCAAAACCCCCACCCTCCAATCTTTTAATAACATTCACTGGTTTCTCGCTTCTGATTACAGGGTGCAAGTCTATTAAGTTTTTATTATTACCTTATTTAACTTTGGATTATGAATCCTAACCAGTTTTCAATTATGTTTCATTAGTTATGTAACATTTGAAACTGTAAAGCACGATTCTCCTGTATGACTGGAACAATGCTTTTCCTATATACTCTATAATTCTGCCACACTGCATGCCTGGGTTCACACATGCTATACAGACCAGTGATGTGAATGTACTGTAAGTAAAGTAGAGAATGGATGTCATATTTCAGCACATTTTCTGAGGTTGTTTGTGCAAAATTAGGTCTATTTTCAAGCACTTTTCGTTGGACACATACTCACTCAGAAACTGCAAGGGCATTAAACCAGTGAAAGCTGCAATGGTATACACAACTCATCCTTCTTTAAAAGGTTAACAAAAACTTTATAAGGACGTTGGCCTTACTTTCCAAGGCATGTTGTAATTGTAGAGAACAAAAAATGATACTATGGACATACAGTATGTAAAAACAACGGAGAATTGTGGGGATTTAGCATAGGTGACACATATATTTCACCGTTCTCTAACTGCCTTCACATCATGTTTGAAGATGAAAACAATGTGTACACAGCAATAATGAGATCGAACCAAATAAAAGCTACAGTATATACTGTATATGTAGAAATTGGTATCCTGTTTGTTGTTGAAAACTGTGTCTCATACAATGGCCAAGATATTGTCATATCTGCCGATAATGCTTGTCAATTAAAAACTCCCAAGCACACAGTTCTTAAGCAATTACAGAGGCACTTCACATAAGAACAAGAAAAATAAATGATCAGAAGTTTGCATAACATAGATTTTCACAAATGTTGACTAGAAATAATAAAGACTGAAAGATTTTACAATTCTCCTCCATTTGTGTTTACATTTTTCTGTAAGCATTTCAATATTACCTTTTGAAATATAATCTCAGAAAAAGCAGACATTTGAAATAGGTGTTAGCAAATTGTTTCATGCTTGATCTAATTTAAATTTCACATTACATTAGGGCAATTCAATGAAGAATTCCAAGCAAAAAATATTATACCCAGAGAAATTGTAATTCAAATATTAAAATAAGTTTCAATATTCAGAAAATCTTAAGCTTGGTTAAAAAGCAAAATACAGTCTCACACCATGGGAACACTGCAATACATAGAAATAAAAAAACACACGTATGAAAAAGCATGATATTGAAACTTGTTTCAGTTATACATTAGTAAATTAAACCATGCAGCACATGCAGATTTTCAGCAGGATTTCATCTTCTCTCCACTTTAGTTTTATTTATTCACCCATTATTTGAAGCCTGGTGGATCTTCAATGCCCTTGAACAAAAGAATCCTCCAGACTTCATGTGTGAAACTCCAGTCAGTTGGTACACAGTACTTCTTGTCTATTGTCATTTGTCTGGAATTGGTGCAATTACTGTACCTTTGAAAATTATCTTTTACATACACATGAGTAAATACCACCTGAGCCTTAATGCTCTTTTCCCAACAGCGCAGTGTGTAGACCTTCTCTTGACCACAGCTTTAGTAACATCCAATCTGATTTGTATTTGTTATCTTCTCTATCAAATCAACTCTTTTCTAATAGTGTTTTCCCAATTCTGGTTCTTCTGATCACCTGATTCTTTTAACAAGTAAGTATCATTAGTTTTCTATTTTCTTTTGTTTTTAACTTTATACAACTAAAACTTTCCTGGAGTTGCAGACTAATAACAAAGGCTGGAAAAAAAAAACTACAGACAAGACAGAGAACCAGTGGTTCTAAATATATGTCATTTCTAGCTTTCAATGAGGAAGTTATGATATTGCCTTCAGTAGAGCATTCAGTAGAGAAACAGAATCATTCATTATTAGGGGTGGCTCACTGACAGTGCTGATGACTCAGAGCTATTGGTACCTGTGTATGATTCTGGAGAGGGATGCCTTGTGTGTAGGTTTTTAGGTGGCCTCCATGTCTGTATGGGCTTTCTCTAGGTGCTCTTCTTTTCTCCCGCTTAGCTGTGCTAGGATTTTGGAAATATCTGTACAAAAAATGGCCATGCTTTCTCACCTGAAGATGCGATCCGAAGGCTGCTCTCCCATTACCAAGTCGAAGCCACGCTGGAAAATTGTGTAAGGCCAAGGGCTAGGAAGAAAGAAGAGCCAAACAGAAATGTTCTGACTGTGTATTTCCAGATACGCAATGACTATGATTCTGTTTGGAGTTTGTCATAATTTTTGCATTGATTAAAACTTGGTTTTTCGAATAATAAATAGTGTTTCATGACAGCCATCGGCGCTATAAGAAAAAAATAGGAACAAACCAACATTAAAAAACATGAGTACTCACATCCGATAATGCATACAGATGAAGTTAGGTGCATTATTATTTATCGTGATGTTATTCCTTTTTGTTATAAAATAGTAGGGGTATATTATTCATTTTAATGTTTATCTCTAATGTTTAAAATTGGCTTAGAAAGAGAAATGATAAGAAAGTTGACAATTCAACATTACAAAGAAAAGCCTACAGTATCTTCTGAAATTAACTGCATTGGTATACAAAAGTAAATGCTGCAAAAACAATCCAGATGTAGAGCCAGATGTTCCCCTTAGCAAATTCTTAACACATTTAGACAGTTAAAAACATATCTTTAGTTGAAAACAGCTCCTGACTTCACAGCAAAAACACAATCAATGTAAACAGTGTTTGTGTATAAAAGATCCTCTTGTTTTAAACTTTCCATTCAATCACATTTTTAGGACTTTATTACTGTTGCAAAGCTCTCTCTGGGTGTTACATCCAATTAAAACTCTATTCACAGTTTCATACAGCAGTGAAAAGTGAACAAGAGCCCAAGACCAAAACGATTTCACACCATTATGATGCCCTGCTGATCATTTCTCTCTGAGCCCTAATTATTAGATCTATCGCCCCACCATCGTGACTCCTATCACTATTTAAATTAAAACACAGAGACAATCATCACAGTTACAGGTTAATCAAATAGTTCTCAAGAGGCATTGCCAATCTGGCTAATTTAATAAAGAAGAAGAAAGAAGAAAAATTAAAATCCATAACTTGAATAGCTTGGATATTTCTCTAATATATTTATTGCTAACAATTCTAAGGCCAAGATAAAATCAAAATCTTGACTCAGCCACCAAAAATAACTTTGTGTTGGAAAGAGAGGTTTGCTTTGTGGAAGGTCTTTTCCATCTTGCCCAAAGTGATTTTCAATTGGTGAGTGGGTTTTGATGATTCTGTCCCAGGTCCAAATCACTGTTATCTATTATGAAGTACAGTATCCTGAATGTGATTCATTGTCACTGTTTTCTTTTGTGTAGTTTACACATGGTAACAAAAGTAAAATATTGTATGCTAAGTAATGATTTATTCTAGTAAACATAACTTCATCCAAGATTTAATAATTCCTCAAGCTCCAAATTAAATGTGTATGTCTTTTTAGCTGATATAAGACATTAGCTTTTTATTGATAACATTGAGAACATTTGTAATTCATTCCACCTTTCTTCCTGATGACAAAAAACCTTGAGCTGAAATGTAGGAGAGCTTTACATTATATATGACCAACAACCGTCCCAGAGGTAAAAAGAAAAAAAAATAACTTCTGTAACAGTTAGCACAGTCAAGTGTCTGCACCTGTAAAATGCAATTTAAAAAGGTAGATTAGTAGATTAATGATACCTAAATTTTCATTTAAAAAGGTTCTAATCTAATTCTAAATAATTGTGCTACTGTATTTCATATCCCAGCCTTGTGCCATATTAAGCTCTTTTCCAGAATGGTGGTTAATGAAATTAAAGTAGTGCAAGACACAGACAAATTAAATGTTTTTTAAAAAGGTATTATGAACTCTCCTGGTTAAATGTAAAGATATATGTAGTGCTATTGACTTGTACTGTACAACATACCTAAATCTGGTCTAAGCAAACAAAAAAAAAAAACCTTGAGTCATATATTTGAAATTAAATTTACAAACATTTTACTAAAAGCTGCAAGTGCTAATGTGGAGCAGTGGTTAGGTCACTGGTCATACAGTACAAATGTCTGGGGGTTCTAATCCTATGTGGAGCGACCTCTTTTTGCACCCTTGAGCAAGGTACTTTATATAGATTGCTCTAGTAAAATACCCATCTGTATAAATGAATACAAACGCCGTTGGGTTTGGATGAAATTAATAATAGTCTGCTGTGAACCTTAAAATTGGGCATTTTTTATTAGAGAAAGCTTTGCTTTATCAGTTAATAAAATATAACGGGTAAATATAACACTCCTCAAGAACTCCTCACTCCTCACACTCCTCAAGGGAATGGTAGATGAAAAATGAACCAATATGCTACACAGAATGTACAGCATAATATATTCCGAGACACAATACGACACAATGTACAGGTACAGTATGTGTTCCTGGCAGACTTCTATAAAATGGTACAAACTGCTGCAGCATGTACACACCTCTACTACTGTAGAACAAAACATTCACAAAAAGCATGGAAATGCCAACAAACTATGTTGTATTGTTGAAAGCAGTGTCTGGAATGACTTCTGACAGTTTGTTTAACAGGACTGTAAACAGCTACAAGTTCTGACAGGCAGACAGAAGCTATGTAAGTTAAAGAGGGAGACCGCCTGCTATTGTAAATAGACTAAAGAACCTGTATGTTACTCAGATGGCTGGCTTGGCTAAAAATAAGCCATGATAACTCAGACCAGACACTGATGTAATGACTATCACACACAACAGAAATCTAGGAAACAACATCTTTTTTTTCAGATTTTATTAAGTTACCCAAAACAATAATTAAACAATGGGTAGATTTTCATAACTTTGATACGATTCCTTTATCACAAATACATTGAATTAATAAGGGCTGATTTTCTCTACTAAGATGTTTATTACCAGTTTTAAAAGCAAAGAGCAATGCTTACCCTTGGTTGGGAGCCCATTCATTCCGCGTGCAAAGATGTTTATGAACAGGGTCCTTTGTGTAGCCATCAAAGCAGACACATTCACCTGTGTATAAAAACAGGAAACGTAGTTATCCATCACAGAAATACTAGAAAAACAGAAAAACAGCCTCGGGCATTTGATATTTACTCTTTGACCTATTGTGTTCACTGACCACGTCTACCAACAGACGCACGTTAAAACCTTGCATAAGGTGGAAATAGATCAATCTGTCGCTTCTCTGCTCTGTTGTTATTACTACATTAAATTCATATTTCACTTGGGTGTTTGCTTAGGGTGTTCACTAATGAAGAAATGCGCCTCTAGTTGAATATTCAATAGTAAAGTCAAAAGTCACTAACAAAACTCTTCCTTCAATCACAGTGGACGTCTGAAAAACAGTGAAAAACTGACCAGAGCATACAAGTCAAAACTACTACTACTACTACTACTACTACTACTACTACTACTAATAATAATAATAATAATAATAAGCCCTTACACTTATATAGCACTTTTCTGAATACTCAAAGTAGCTTACAGGTAATGGGGACTCCCCTTCACCTCCACCAATGTGCAGTCCCACCTGGATGATGTGACGGCAACCACGGTGTGTCAGTATGCTCACCACACATCAGCTATTAGTGGGGTGGACAACAGAGTATTGAAGCCAATTCATAGATGGGGATTATTAGGTGGCCATGATTGGTATAAGTAAATGAGAAATTTAGCCAGGATGCTGAAGTAACACCCCTACTCTTTTAGAGAAATGCTCTGGGATTTTTAATGACCACAGAGAGTCAGAACCTCAGTTTAACGTTTCAGCCAAAGGACACTATAGTGTCCCCATCACCACAATGGGGCAATAGGACCCACAGAGACTCTAGGGAGCACACCCCTTACTGGCCCCACTAACACCACTTCCAGCAGTAACCTTACTTTATCCCAGGAGGTCTGGGCTTGTCAGTTGAGAGTTGCAGGGTGATATGGCTGCTGGCTACATGGAAGGGCATTTAACATTGAGAACGGGGGACACTTTACACTACAGGCTATAGGAGTCTGAGACAAGTTTTCACCTATTTTGCTGAAGCGGAGATCCTGCCCTTTCTCAAAATTAGCTTGATGATGTACACTTGGCTACTAGGCTATATTCGACAATTGGTCTCCTCTGATTTTCAACCTTCCCTATGATCTCTCATTGTGATAAAAAAAAATTCAAATGTCGAAATGAATGATGATTATTTACTATCATCTAATGTGAATTAGATTTATGTACACGAACTTCACAGCTCATAACCACACTCTATACATTGACTTACAGTACATGTCCACTGCAGAATACATCGGCAGAAACATTTTTTAAGATTGCACAAGTGGAAGATACATTTGAGAAACATATTGTAAATAGCTTTAGGTCTTAGAAATTAACTATGCAATTAAAACTGCAGAGGCATAAAAGTGTATAAGCCCATCTACCTTATCAGGGAAAACCAATGCAATTGAAAAGCTAAAAATGCAACTGACAAAAATAATAAATTTACCTCCATTACTTATTATTCTGTGCATGCAATTATCCTGTGTTTGCCACATGTTCAGAATCCTGACACACAGTACCCTATCAGGCTCTTAATCAGAAGTGCTTATTTGGGCTATCATAAATGCTAAGGACCCGTCTCTTTTTTGCTGATCCATCATGTATGAACACACTAGCAAGATGCCTGTTATAATTTGATTCTGTCTGATTGATGGGGGTGAATTTCATAGCTGAGGACTGGCTGGAATGCTGAGCAAGTTTTAAATGCTTTCCTGGGCAGACTAGGAATGGGCAATAATGGAATGTTGATGTGCATGGAGCTGTGTTTATGCGGGGATATTCACTGTGGTTCAAGGACAGCACAATGAGTGGGCATGCCAGAGAGAAGCCTCAAAACACAGTTGTTCTAGGAGAGTTCAAACTCTGCTCTATACATTATCTTTTGGCAGCTGTTAAGAGCTGTCACTTATGGTGCAATACTAATCATTCAATTTTTTCTCTATTACCTCACAAGAAAAGCTCTTAAGATTATATTGACTAATGGCAAAATATTCTGACATGGTGCAAAAGGTATCTGGGATTGCAAATTCTATTCTGCCTTTTATTGTTATCAACGCTGTTCAGATGAACCAAATCCACTCTAAAAAACTTGGCACCAGAAAGTCTTAAATCATACAGCGCATCTTCTACACAACACAGTTGTTCACAAACCATTAATATTTTTGGGTTTTTAAAATGGTTTTCATTTTCAAGAAGTCTCTAGACAAAGTTCTTCTGAAAATAAATCCAAATGTCAAAAAGTACAGAAAAATGTTTAGGCTACTTCATACTATGGACAATGAGATCACTAGAACAAAAACATTCACTTCGGAAAGGCAAGCAGCTCAAAATACACATCTTGAACTAGAATTTGAGACACTTTCGAAAGCCCCTAGAAAATGCCATTGCCTGACCATAATTACAAATCAATAATAGGTAATCATAACTGGAAAGACATTATAATAATACTCTTATGTTGCAGTGTGTGTAAATTACTCTGACTTTCACAAAGTCTGTCATGCTTTGATAACAGGACTTACAGTATAAAAAGAGTCTATTGGGGGTCCTCATGCCCCAAGACCTATGAAGAACATTAAGATCATCTACTGCACACCATGGTGGCACCATTTTAGTGCAGCGGAGCACATATCTGTTTGAGGCAAGTGTTCAGGGACTTGTGATGGTGACTAGAATTGAATGCTCAGCTGCATAAACACTGGCTGTACTTTTATTCTGATCTCACAGATAAATGTCAGTGGGTTGCTGCATATTTTAAAGTAGAGTGTGTGACAGTTCATATATGTGTTGGGAACCTGTTACAGTGACATCACTCCCTTGAGTTTTGCAAGAGAATACATATTTCCCTTTCCAGGGGAACGGGCTTCTGGCCTCAATGGAGCTATGCAGCTTATGCTCCTGTGACAGTGGTTTGATTCTGAGGTTCAGCCAAGTACGGTGTACTGAGATCTTTCATTCCCCTTATTTACATCAAACACAATTTGGGAGCTTAGAAAATTGTAACACTTTTGCCTTCAAAATGCGCATGGTAACTATGCTTGAATTGCTTATCATTCAAATAGAGGACTGCTCTGATCATTTGCAAGCTTCACCTGTCTATAAAGAACCTGTTTAAGGCTCCCCACCACAGTATAACATTCACATTCATCCCGATATTCAGGAAAGTAAGAGAATAAGAGAATAATCACTCTGTGCAGGTTTTCACAAAGATCCACTGTGAATACCAAAACTTAATTGCTTCTAGTGACACCCTGACACAAAGGGTTTGAAACAAAAGTGTGAAAAAATAAGATATAAATGACTGATTTAATTAAAGTGTCAGTGCTAAATTAAATTCCCATCAGATCGGCTGTCATATAATGGAATGTTAGAACTTTCTTTGCCCTCTATTTAGGATTGTATCAAGATATCCAATGCCAAATATGTTACACATACTGTGACACTCAGTAGTCAGTAGTAGCATGTAGTGTATAATGGTTAGGGTCAGAAAGCTTTCTGAAGACTGAAGGCATATAGCCATTAACCTCCTCATGTAGAGGAATGGTTATAACAAATCCACAAAAATCTGAATATCCCTCTCCACTATTCAGAAATTTAAAAGGTTACTCTTAAATATAAAAGCTGTATATTGGCAAACCTTGAACCTACAGTCTGCTAAAAAAGTAGCTTGGGAGGTAAGCATACAAATACAAAGGCAACAGCTGGAGATCTCCAGCATTAACTGACTGGATACAATGTGTCACAAACTACATCAATGCATACTGTATACTACATATTCAATGTAGTGCTGTATTAATTTGATATATACAGTACCACATATTCAATGTGTCCTATATTCAGATAAAACAAAAACTTGATTTTTCTGACATGCTTACCAGTGTTTGCAGTAAAATGCTCATTCTGAACAAACACCCAATCCCAGTGAGAAATATGGCAGGAGGAACTTTTATGTTTTGGGGTTGTTTGGCATTTACCAGTGATGGAATTCCTGGCAGCACAGCGGTAATCACGAACGCCTGGTTTTGAGCTGACAAGCTCAAGCCAAGAAAATGGACATTCCACCACGACAATGATCCAAAGCAAACACCCAAAACAGAAACGAATAAAAAAATGCATGAAATGCACACAAAATAATGTTCTTAATGGGCTATCAGTCTCCTAACCTCAACCCAATTTAATGGTTTTTGTTCAACTCATGAAGGAAGCTCACAAACAAACATCATATGATCTGAAGGACCTACTGTAGGGCAATTCTGCCTGGGGAATGGTAAAAAAATTCTTCAGGAAGCACTAAAACTGTACAGCACAATACAGAAGGCATTTCATCAGTGGTATCCATGCCAGAGGAGGATTTACAAAATAGTGTGAATAAATGTCAACCTCATATTTTTTGGACTCAAATTACTTATAATAAATATGACATACTGTACAGGTGGAGCCGTGGCACTGTGGCAAAGAATCTGTGCCTATGGCTGGAAGGTTGGAGGTTCAAATGCTGTGGCCGGCAGAGGAATCCTACTCCACTGGGCCCCTGAGCAAGGCCCTTAACCCCAGCTGCTGCAGGGGTGCTGTATAAATGGTTGACCCTGCACTCTGACCCCAAGCTTCTCTCCCTGTCTGTGTGTCTCATGGAGAGCAAGCTGGGGTATGTGAAAAGACAAATTCCTAATGCAAGAAATTGTATATAACCAATAAAGTGATCTTATCTTATACAGTACACTAGCTCTCTACAATGCTAAACAAACATAACATTTTATATTTTTTAAGAAAGATACTGTACTATCCAATCTGCAAATCTCCCAAATGCGTATTTTTGATACTACATGGAGCATCTTCTGTGTGACATTTGCATGTTCTCATTGTGTCTGTGTGAGTTTCCATGTGCTACCACCTCCAAAAGACATGCTTGATTAATTGGTGTCTCTATATCATCCCTGTGTGTCTATGTGACCTCTGCTCAACTGGCAACCCATTC